TTTGGTTTAGATAAGATGTACCTAATGTATGATACACTTGTATATACTTGGCGTAAATTTTTTTTTAATGATTAGTATCTCGATAACTATTGCGAAGATTGCAAAATGGTAGAGAACTTTTTTGTTTAGTTTGGTCCACTACCTCCTCACAAGCGCTGTACCATTGAGTACAAGATACCCTGTATTTTGTAAAAATTTTTATTGTATTTTCTTGTTTTTAACGTCATAATTTGCGATAGTAGTAATGGATGACCAGGAGAATCTTAAACATTAGTATCTCTCGCTTCTAAGGCTTGTTTTATGTTTTAAGATATTCAATTTTACAAGTAAAACGTGATTCGACGGTTACAAATCATAAACGAAGACAAAAGAAAGCATATTGAGGTAAAGAATAAATATTTAGACAAAAAAATTATAACATATATCAATCTCGTTCAACTTCTATTAGCACGATTACCCCATCCACGACGATGTGTGTCTTTATATTCATCCATTGCACGCGCTCGTTCAAGATATTCAAGATCATCTTCTTCTTCTTTTTCCTCCTTCAAAATGACCTCATTGTCCTCACTGTCTGCGCTCGTATCTTGCTTGTTCGCTATATTTTGTAGACACCGAGAATTTGTTGCGTTATGATGTGATGGATCAGGCCAGCTAAAATGATATCATAAATTCTGTATTATTATCATTTTTTCTATTTCGTAGTTTTAATATATATGCTTTTATAGAATATACACTGCCGACCAAAAGTTTGAGATATAAAATTTAATAATATTCTAGTGAAACACTACTGAAAAAATTAATTTATGCTTTTTTTCTAAATTTGAGAGTAAATATATTATATTTAGTACATTTGTAATTAATGTAGTATTCTTTAATTTAAAGAAAATGGATTACAGTCATAAGGTCGTTTTTCCAGAACTGAGCTGAGATTATCTTATTGTTAGAGTGGAAAAGTCTTATAAGAAAAAATAAACTTATAACTAAATAACCGAGATTAGTAAAAAAGATGATTAAATATAAGAGTGGTTACTTCAACAAAGAATTAATATTCTTTAGTGCTTTTCTTGTAAAAATTATGTTAAAAATATTTTTTGTAAAAATTTTTAAAGTATTTAAACTTTTTATTTATTTTATTACACAACAATGAGTAAAAACATAAAAATGTTAAATTATAATACATACAGATAAATATAGCTTTAATTCATACAGTAAACATTTAATAATCTCAAACTTTTACCTGGCATAATCTCTACTTACTCTCCATCCTTAACTCTTTGATCGTAGAACTCTTGTACCGTTAAAACTGGTAAACTTGGATAGCCTGTTCCGAAAACTTTCTTTTGTATCTCATCACGTGTAATGATAATAGGTTGCAGTTTCGGAGTTGGTAATTTTTTCTTTTTTTGTAATTCAGAAGTTAAAGTATGCATAGGTCCCATTTGCTTCATATTCTCCAAAATCGTTTTCTCCGTTTTCAACAAATTTAATTCGTCGACGATTCGGACTGCATATAATTTTAGAAGAGTAACAAAATATTCTCTCTTAATTTCATCATCAATATTTGGATTATCTAAGTTTTTCTTCAAAGTATTCAAATGAGATTCCAAATCTTTCTCTTGTTGGTACCTTTGTAACTTTGTATTTCTACGAATCACCTGAAACAAGTAGAATGAAAATAATTATGCTTTGTAACAGATTACAATAACCGTTTGATAAAAAAAGCCAACCATATCTTCTAACATCTTTGATGAAGAATCTGATGTATTCTGATTATCTTTTTCCTTTTTCTCATTGGCTAAACCAATTTCAGGTATTTCCACGTCTGTCAAACCATATGCTTTCAGCCGCTTTAAAAAATCTACAAAATAGACTTCTGCTACTTTAACCAAATGCATTCTATCATCGGTAACACATATCTGATTGGTAAGTTTGCCCAACAGAGCTGGTAATAAAAAATATTTGATATTCTCTGTAGCAACTTCCTCAAAAGTTTCGTTGTCACTGAACATATCCACTATAGATACCAATCTTGTTGCATCTTCAAACATACGCATTGCCCGTTTTATATCCAACTGCAAAAAGACGAAACAATTATAATCTTTGCTACAATGTGAGACGAATTCTGTTTTATATAGAAATAAATTTTGTATAATACATGTATATATATAATTATATATATATATATATATA